TCGCCTAGAGCCGACCCCAACGGGGTAATACTCGGGCAACACGCACTAAATTAAATTGGGAGCCGACCCCAACGGGGCTTATCAACTTTACTTTTAGTACTTTCAACACAGTCAACAAATTAAAACATGATTTACCATTAATATTTTCATGAACACTATATTGAGAACTAATGGTCACTATTTGTATTCATGAACACTATTGAGAACTAATTGTCAATATTTTAATTTTTTAAAATTACGTGTCACCAAACTCTTGCTGGGATATAAAAATTTTTGGATTTATTTGGTTGTTTTAGTTTGGTTTGGTTAATTTTAAAAAATGTGGTATGATTAGTTGTTAGTGGTTATATTAAAATAATATTTAGAATAAAATAATTAAAATGATTTGATGTAAAAATAGGAGAAATATGATTTGAAGTGATGGTTAGTGAAAATTATGTGAGTGGATGAATAATAAATTAAAGTTGATGTGGTGTATAAGAATGATTGATTGATATTATTTAATTATTATGATAATATTGATAATTGTTGGATTAAATTAAAGCTGAATTTAAAAAAATGTGGTTGAGTTAAAAATAATTAGATTTTTTTGGATAAATTTATATCCAAGCATCCTCTTATAGTGCAAATCTATGAATGTATGTTGCATATCTATGAAGCCAAATGTGCATTTTTGCTACTTGTTGCATCGACACCCCTGGTGAGTCAGAAGCTCGTTTGAGGGTGGCGACCGGTAGTGGGGTTGGAGGACATTGACCATGGCACCACACGAGAGTGAGAAAATGCCCATTATGCATTTTATTTATTTATTTTTTTGGTACAAAGATAGAGGCTAACACCTAAGTACCAGAAATCGGTCCATGTCGAGGGTGTGAAACCCCGACAATATCGTGGTGTAACCATTGTCGAACCTCATCCGGCGGCACATCGAAAGATTGAAAACCACCCGGGCTCCTTGTAGCCATTCTCGCCATACAATCTGCCACGAAATTGGACTCTCAGAATCCATGGCATAACCTCACCGACCATTGTCTCTTCAACAAATCCTTAATGGCCAAGATTAAGGCACTATGTATCCCGTGCTCAACATTAACACTTTGGATCATCGAGAAGGCACATAGGCTATCCACTTCCGCAATTACCCGACGATAACCCGAGCTTCATGCTAGTTGGAGCCCTTGGAAAAGCCCCCATAATTCCTCCCCTGTGATGGAGAAAAAACCGATATTCATGGTAAAACCCTGTAACCACCGTCCAAAAGGATCACGTAAAACTCCACCTGAGCTTGCCATCCCCGACGATGGGTTAAAGGAGCCATCCAAATTCATTTTAACCCAACCCTCAGGAGGGGCCATCCATCTCACGTACACCATCTCCCATCCGACCCCGAAACCTCCCAACCGTCTTTCTCCTCTGATTACCGCGGAGACATTTCCCTTTCAAGTGTCGATTTCTTTCAATAAACCGCCCACACACGACACTTCTCCTTCAAAAACTCTCCGATTACGTGCATTCCAAATACGCCATAAAGCGAGCCCAAATATTACATCCCAATCCATAACATCCAATTTTCGAGCATTTGTCAAATTTATTACCAACCAATCCTCCAATTCCAAAGTATTAAAATCATTCCAAGTGACTCGAGGAACTAACCTTTCCCATACGGAAGAGGCATTGGAGCAGTCCCTCAACGTATGCAGCAAAGTCTCCTCCTGAGTTGGACATATATCATATCTATTATTAGATGTCAACTTTCGCCGACACCATTCAGAATTTGTGAGAAGTCTCTTTCGAGCAACCAACCACAGAAAATTTTGAACTCTCTGAGGACCACTCCACGACCAGATGACCTTCCATAATCTGTTACAGCTCAGGTTCTTCGGGTGAAACACACTCTCGTAAGTTGACTTTGTCGTAAATACACCGTTGTGCGAATAGCCCCAGTAAATCTTATCTGCACCAGCTTCTACTCTCGGTGGTAGAATGGCCGCCACCCGTAGCCTAGTTGTTGTCGGGAGTAGATGGTCGAAGAGCTCCCATTTCCACAATCCCCGCTCGTTAACAAAGAAATCCATTGTATATAATAGTGATTCCGGTACAGGGCCAATAGCAAGGCTAATTAACGTGTCCTTGCAATTCAGCCAGCGGTCCCACCAGAATAGCACCCTTCGGCTATCCCCCAAAGACCACCGTACTCCCGTTATCACGTTACGCCATACCTTGCTCATAGCCTGGAGTACGACTGAGCCTTTTGGAAATTTAAAATTTTCGTGCATCTCGAGTGGAGTTAGTTTATACTTCACCCTCAAAGTCCGAACCCACAGGACGTCCGGTTTGGTAAAAAAAGTCTACCCCAGCTTCATGAGTAGCGCTTCGTTCATCAAGCGTTGATTCTTGATTCCCAGTCCTCCGCAGCGTTTTGGTTTACAAACAGTCCCCCAATCCACCAAGCTCATCTTTCTCTCTGTCGTCGTGCTTCCCCATAAGAATATTCTACACTTCTTTTCCAATTTATCGCACACAAAATACGGAAGTAAGACTGTTTGCATAGTGTAGAAAGCCAAACAGCTCACTACTAATTGTACTAGAGCAGCTCGACCCGCCATTAATAATAAAGCCGCTTTCTACCTCGAGAGGCGATTTTCTGCTTTGTCCAGGATCCTCCCATACGTCTGCTTATTAATTCTACCGTGGATAAGAGGGACCCCTAAATACCATCTCAGATCAGTAACCGTCGTAAAATCGAGTAGTCTACTAATCTCCGCTCTCGTATCAGTCCCAACATTATTGGAGAAAAGGATTCTAGTTTTCAATGCACTTACTTTCAATCCAGATGCCTGGCTAAATGAATATAATACGCCCTTCAAGCACGTGGCCTGATCTACCATCGCCTGCGAGAACAAAAGTAAATCGTCTGCAAACATCAAAGAAGGTACTTGTACCGCACCTCGGCCAATGGAAATTGGCCGCCATCTGCCCTCAACAACTGCTAATTGTATCAGGTTAGCCATTTTCTCCATACATAGCACAAACAGATATGGGGACATTGGATCCCCTTGTCGTATTCCTCTCGATGGCCGGAACTGATCACTCACCTGCCCGTTAAACTGAACCCGCATCGAGGCTGAAGAGATACACGTCGATATGCCACGCACAATGTTATACGAAAAACCAGCAAGTTTAAGAGTGTCGATAACAAAATCTCACTGTAAGAGATCATACGCCTTCTCCAGATCGACCTTGACGACCATAAAGCCGGTTTTGCCTTTCTTCCTTCGCATGCTACGGATCAATTCCTGGGCCATGATGATATTATCAGAGATCTGGCGTCCCGGGATGAAACTCGATTGCGCTGGCCCAATTAATCTTGGCAATATAGGCTTCAGTCAATTTGCCAAGACTTTGGTCATAAGCTTATAGACTACATTTAATAGGCTGATAGGTCGAAAATCTTTTATCTCCTGTGGATCGTCTACCTTTGGGACGAGGACAATAAGTGTGTCGTTTATCCCATTCGGCATAACACCGTCGTGTATTATCTGTTAGACTAGATCGCATACTGGTTTACTTACACGCAACCACTATTTCTAGAAGAAAATGGCATGTAAGCCATCCGAACCCGGTGCCTTAAGTGGCGGCATTGCATTTAGGGCTCTTAATATTTCGTCGTCTGAGATCGCCCAGTTCATCCCCACAAGTTGGGCCCTTTCGATCTGAGGAAAATAATTCGTCCAGTGGAAACTCACGTTGGTTGTTCCATCTTCTGTATATAATTGCGTGAAGAAACTCAAAGCGAGTGTCTGCATTGTTGACTGATCCTCGATAAGCCTGCCACTTTAATCTCGAAGGAATTGGATTCGATTTTTTCGTCATTGAGATTTAACCCGGCGGTGAAAGAATGTCGTATTTCGGTCACCAAATAAAGTCCAATCACGCTGGGACTTTTGAATTAAGAGAATCTCCTCCTGAACCATAACTTCATCCAGCTCCTTCCTCAAAACCGCCTCCAGCCCCTTAAGTTTTGTAGAATGGTAACGTTGCAAACATCGTTGTATACCAGCAAGTCTGGCCAATAATTCTTTTTTGCGCTTAAATATGTTGCCAAAAACATTCAAACTCCATGACTTTGCTTGAGCGTGGAAATCAAGTACAGCCTCTTGAAACGTTTTCCTGTTTGTCCATACTCCCTCCATTAAATTGTCAAAATCTTCGTGGAGCAACCATGACGCCAGAAACCGGAAAGGTTTCTCCTACCGTCCACGGTTCGTAAATTCTTCCACTCGAACTAATAGCGAGAGATGATCTGACACCATCCGAGGAAGGTGCCAGACTATGCATTGAGAGTATTTATCCAACCAGTGCCCGTGGCTAACGAAACGATCCAGCTTCTCCGATAGATCCCCTCAAAATCATGTAAATTTAGTACCACCTGTAGGGATTTCCTCTAGCTTGTTGTCAAACATCCATTCTGCCATTCCTGTGCATGGTGATTTCGCGACGAGCCCCCTGCTTTTCAGATGAACGAAGCAAACTATTAAAGTCACCTCCGAGTCGCCACGGACTGGATATTTGTTCAGCCAACCAACTCAACTCCAGCCATAACAGCCGACGTCTCTGTAACTAAGGGCAAGCATATACGAAATTCATAAGAAAATTATCCCCGTCCATTCGTAACCTAGTATGGATGAATTGGCGATGGCATCGTATTATAGTAACAGCCACCCTATTCCTCCAAAGGACCCAAATCCCTCCCTTAAAGCCCTCAGCCTCCACTCAAAACGATTGATTATACCCATTTCGCAATATGAAATCATCGACTTCTTTGCCCCTTATTTTTTGCTCCAATAACGCCATGACATCGGGTTTATAGTTATTACTAATCATAAAAAACGCACGCTGAAATTCTTTTGACCCTGCTCCTTGAACATTCCATGTCATTATAATAATTATTTAACTTGGGAAGGAAATAGTGGCGCACGTCAGACTCAAGTATCAGAGACACTGTCATCTAGTTTTGCCTCCATAATACATGGCGAGATCTCATTAGCCTGATCCTTCAGACTCGACGTCGAGATGACTTCCTGAGCATCCGTCGGCGAATTATTCAGCACCATATCAATGTTTACCTGGTCCTCAAATCCTTCCGGGCCCGATGCATTATTGTTATTGAAGGTGGGGTTGTCTAGCACATGAACGGCTCTATGATTTGATGGGTCTAAAGCCGTTTCTGCCCTAACCACTGTTTGTCCCTGGGAACCAAGAAAATTCAATGAGTCGTCATTGGCCGCCAAGCTGTCAGACTGAATTTGTGCACCCTCAACCCCCTTGCTATCTCCTTTAGTGCCTCTGATACCACTATCCGCTGTACTAGGAGTCTCCGTGTGACGGTGAGTTCGGTCCACTTTATTCTATTGTAACCCCTTAGTTTTCATAGTCCACCCCTTTAATTTCGACCCAGTTGTTCCTTTTCCCTTATCAGCCTTGAAGATAATATCGCCTTCTCCTCGCTCCTCCTTTCTCATTTGGATGTCTTCCATACCCGTAACCTCCTCCTCTGTTAATTCTTATAAAGCTCCAAAACGAGATCCTATTTCAGCATCATTGGAACGTGATTTGGATAGTGCAACTGACCCCATCGGACTTGCAGTAGCCCTTCCCTTATCCTTTTTTTTTTTTTGCCGCAATCCACTCGCCACTTTCTACCGGTTCAACCGCTGGCTTCCTCCGACCACCATCGGGTTCTTGGCCTCTATCACTTTGGCCTGTATGATTGCTAGTGCTTGGGCGAGTTGGGCACACAGTACCTACATGGCCGTAATGCCCACACGAGAAACATATTTCCGGCAGATTCTCATATTCTATTATCTGAGGTTTACCCATAATGTGGAAACTTGTAAATAGTGGCTTTGTTAGATCCAGTTGCACCGCAAGTCTCGCAAATCTTCCACGTGTCTGGGTGGCCATCTGATGATCTATCGTCAGGACTTTTCCCACTGTCTTCAATTCTCTTGAATACTTTTGTATGGTAAATGTAAGGTGGCATTCCGGGTAACCATATCCACGCCACAATAGAAGAGATCGTATCGACTTTATCATTGAAGTCCTTACGCCAAGGTTGGACATGGAGATAGGTTCGATTCACCACCCAAGGGCCACACACAAGCACCTTCGTGGCGTCTTCATCTGTACGGAATCGTACTGAGAAATACCCATTGTCATGGTCGATGATGGAGCATCCTTGTACCCAAACCCAAGGCAAGATTTGGATTAGCCGATTGTACAGAGCAAGCATTCCTAGTGGTCGACGTGCTCCCAGTTGCTTGATAATAACGACATTCCTCCAAGAATTTACACAGGCTTCGTAGAAAGAGTCCTTGAACTTCAAATTCGGCCCGTCTGGACCATATTCAACTATTACATCATCATCATCTTGCCCGTCCCCCTTATCAGCAGCTTCCGATAACACGACATGGGGCCGGTCCTCCTTCATTAGATCTCGCCAGGACTTCGGCTGTGGTTGTTCTTTCCCATCGGTAGCACCTGAATCTAGCTGTTGAGCTTGGTGGGTTGTCGACTGTGGCAGGTCCTCTGGGGATAGCGAGCGGCGCCTCTTCGAGTATCTTACGTTGACTAACAAAGGGGCCGCATTTTTGAGCACTGGGAACTCCTCCGAGCTCCGATCGGGCGGGTGTGCTTTGGGATTGAGGGTAGGATCTAAAGCCCCAAATCCGCAGGGACGATGAGGGCATCCGATGCCGTGAATTTCGCCGGTGGAATTAGGGTTATTAATGCTTAATATCGACTCTTTTTTTACCATTTGATAATCTTATACCTATTATTCATTTTTATCTGTTTCATTGACAACCATTACAAACTATCTAAAATTTAAAAGAATATCTCCATATTTTAATAATTTGAAAAAAATCCAAATTATATACACCAAAATTTATAAAATTTCAAAGTCTTTAAAATTTCTAAATTATGTACATCAAAATTTATAAAATCTCAACGTCTTTTAAAATCCTAAAACAAATACACGGAAGATCAATTGGTTGATGGTAAAGTGAAAATTAGCCGGTAGTAAAGTGAAATTCGCACTACATCGATACGATTAGTAAGACGAACAAGATCACAAAATATATCAATGTCGACTCTATTCACATAAATCCACGTGAAAATAATTAAGGACTAATAAACTTGCCTCCCTTTTATGATTTCTCCTAAGAAAGCTTCATGCTCTCTAGAAATGCCTCCCGAGGAATACTTACAGATTTTTGGGGTTTGAATTGCCTTTTCGCACCTTTACGATCCAAAGGTGCAGCTGGAACCCTGCAAACAACCAAAAAGAACATTCGCAGGATCACAAATTGACAACAAGATCACTTACAGAAACTAATACGTATCAATTCCATTACAAGTACTGTAGTACAGATAAAGACAGACTAAGCATAACACAGTAATATATATTTTTTTTTTTTTATCTCAACTCTCAACAGTGATATACACAACAAATGAAAGAATTACCCAGTTAGATACAAATCTAATCAAACTCCCACTTGGCTTAACACAAATTACCAAGGGGGAAAACAAAAAAAGCATGAAAAAGAGGCCAAATTCCATAACCAGTTGAATTATCTCAGCCAATCCTATGTACCGAGCTAGCCAGAGAAAACCAGGGAAGCTAGTAATAACCTGCTCTTCTCATACGTCCCCACATCAGACAAAAAAGGATAACCCAACAATAAAATAGCTCTGCATTTCCACATATGACAGTTCTATATATGGGATATAAATTGATACTTGCATATAGAGTTTTACCGTGCGTGTGCATCCTTGTTCACGCACGACATTTCAGTTCTAAAAAAAAAAAAAAACTTATCTAGTATGCGCTTTAAAGTGGAATACTAATATAAAATGTAACAGTATAAGAATAAATAAAAGAAATGTTTAGTCCAGAAAGGAAGTGTAATATTCAAGTGGGTTTGATAGGCAGATCAAGTTTGTTCTAAATAAAGAAACTCACCTCTGTACTGAAACCACTTGACCTGTGATAGCTTCTGTTATCATAATCGAATTGTCCTGACTCCTGACGATCATTTTGGAGTATCATGAGTTTTATAATAGAACAATCGTATTTTGTCAATAAATGAGATTTTAGGGAGTATCTTCCGAGTCTAAAAAGAAAAAATTATGTCCCGCTTTTAGGTGAAAAATATTCATGACATTTCTNGGAAAAAAAAAAATGTGTGCACGGACAGTTCCTCTATCTACCTGTCAATATATTTCTTCAGCATCTGCAACATGCTGTCACCAACATTTTGAGCTCGAGATTTGTGAACAATGGTGGCCATGACATCAACTTTTTTGTTGTTTAGGAAGGCATCAAGCTTTATCAATTTTGAAAGTCTGTGGCTGTTGATCAAATAAACAAATATCAAAAGCTAAATCAGAAGGGTATCTTACTTTAAAACTTAGACAACACACATCATATAATATTTCTAACTGGGAAATGGTGACTACAAAGAAAACTTCAAAGTATTGCCATCGTAACAAGATTTTTTCAAATTTTCATCCAGATATGTTTTCTCAAAATGTTTTTAGCCTGTCCTTTTCTTGTTAAGACAACAGCCAGAAAGGCAAAAGTTCTAAAATCGTGATTTTTTTTTCATAGTATCACAAGTCTTATTTTCTAACCACTCCAGTATACAATCCTCGAAGTAAATACGAATAACAGAATAAAAAGTGGAATCATTTTTAAACTTTGTGCTAAACTCAAGGGAGTAATATAAGCAGGGAAGTGTATTAATTCAGCAATTATACAATTTCAATGGCAAGATTTTTATCTATTCTTCTTTTTCATTGGCTATGGGTTTGTCAATGAATGATTGAACTTACTCTGCTTCTTCATACATAAATATTGCATATCCCGATGTTTTAGTTTTCAGTATATCGTAAAAGTCGACGACAATTTCCCTCAACGGTAGTCGATATTTCAGAAGTACCTGCTTGCTGCGTATCAACCAGGATGTAAACAATGAGATGAACTCTTTGATCAGCAAACTTCAAACAAGATTTCATCTTCTGACTGATTTCAATCAACAAAAAGAGTCCTTATACATCAAAAGGTGCAGCTGAAGTATCACGTTTTAGCTACTTTAATCACTTACTTCCATACAACACCATATCCATATTTTGGTTGAAGCATTAAGCCAGCTCCCTAGCTATACATATACATGCTAATGGGCAGAAAATGTTGGGTCAATTACGAAAACTTTACATCAAACCTTAAAGCTGCACTATCTATGCATCAACATGGTATTTATGACTCAAACGGATAGTTGTGCTACATTTATAATTAGAACTAACCTCATGACTATTTTCACATAGTTACTCCCCCGAAAGGTATGATATCATAGCACAACCAAAAAATACCTGGTGATATAAGAAAACTGCACTTGTTCTCCTTCACGCTCGACACATAGGGTAATGACAGGTCCCAAATACCTTTTTCACAAGGAAATGAAAGACTAGATGAATTAAACATGCAAGACACGTAAATATAAATAAAGAACATGTAGAGGGTATGGAGCTTACTCACTAGGAAGTACGATTTTGGCAATTACTGTAGGTTCCCAGATAGATTTGAGTTTCTTGTTTTTGTAACGATCAGTGCACATATGCATTCCTACTTTGCTAAACAACACAAGCAAATGGTGAACAAGTGAGAAAGGGATCAAATGCGTAAATGGATGAAGCAAAAAAAGCTGTGAAGTCTACCTCCCATCTTGAAATTCAAAAATGTAAGGTACGGTTGGAATTGTGTTGTGAACATGGACTCCATATTCCTGTACCATTTTGATCCACTTGTTAGCTATGAAACACCAACCTTAGCACCAAAAGAATTCATTTTGGCAGACTCATTTTGTATGATGTTGTCAGCTTACATGCTCTATAAATTGTCCCAGAGGTCTTTTCTATGAAGTAAGTTAGATGCTATAAAAGCTACTTATCAGAAAAATAAAATAAAAAATAGAGTGATCCGTTAATACTATTCTTTTACTCCTGAAACTGTCGCATCATAAAATCTCTACACTTCAAAAACTACAATACATTATTTCAGAAATAAGAGAGCTTATAAAATGTTTAATATAATATCAGCCTAACACCACTCAGGGATATGTGAATCGTGATATATGCTAACAGACAAAGATCTTCATGTATACAAATAAACCATATTTCTCATAAGAGTAACTCCTAAAATCTAGTTCCTCCCCAATTTCAGCTTTAAACTGCTATAGAGACCTGTTGAAGCCGCTGATGAAATACATCCATATGAAGTAGACCTAGAAAACCACACCTGTACAAAATTGCACCAGGAACTAAATGAAAAGAAATTATTCTAGCTTACTATTAATAACAACAGATATACTAAAAATAAAATGAAGTAAAAATGATGAAAATGAAACCTGAAACCACGACCAAGCGCTGCACTGCTCTCAATATCAACAGACACGCTTGGGTCATTGCATGTAAGTTTCTCTATAGCATGCTCAAGTTCACTCAAACCAGTCCCATCAGCAGGGTATAGACCAGAGAATACCATGTGTTTTGCAGGTTGAAAACCTGAGAAATAATCGTGAAAAATAATGGATTTTCTAAAGATAAGGTACTTGTTTCGCATAAAAACTTCGGGACCCTAATTTCTCAGAATCAACTTTTGTAATATATACCATTTCTCTCTCTCTCTCTCCTTTGATAAACTTCTAAACAAATTCTTAACGGTTCATAACTCTCAACCACCTTAAAAGATACCGTTTTCAAAATCTTGGTCAAATGTGCTACGCAAGAAAGAAAAAAGGAAAAAATACAAGAAACACATGTCGAATATTACCCGGGAGAGGCTGAATACCACTTTGCCTCTTGTGCAGAGTGTCACCAACACGAGCTTCTTGAGTCGAGTGCATCCCGCAAACCACATACCCCACTTGCCCCGTCATCAGAAAAGCCGTGGCCTTAAACTCTGGATGCATAACCCCAACATCAGAAACCTCGTAACCTTTGCCACTCCCCGCTGATTTAATCCTATCACCCTTACGCAAAATCCCGTCCACAACAGCCACATAGCATATCACCTTCTTGTACTCGTGAAAAAACGAGTCGAACAGAAGCATTCTCAGAGGCGAACACATTTTCCCACTCGGCGGAGGCACTCTTTCGATGATGGCTTCCAGAATCTTCTCAAGACCTTCCCCAGTTTTGGCCGATGCCAGGAGAGCCAAGCTAGGGTCGAGATCAAATGTGGCTGCCAGCTGGCGCTTGACGTTGTCCGGATCGGCTGAGGTCAGGTCTATCTTGTTTATCACGGGGATTACGGCGAGGTTGCATTCGGAGGCAAGGTAGAAATTGGCGACTGTTTGTGCTTGGATGCCTTGAGTTGCATCGACGACTAGAAGGACACCTTGGCAGGCTGCTAGGGATCTCGAGACTTCGTAGCTGAAATCCACATGGCCTGGAGTATCGATTAAGTTCAATAAATATGATGAATGGTCGTGAGTGTAGATCATGCTTGTTGTCTGAGCTTTGACAGTTATCCCTCTCTGCCTCTCCACCTACGAAATAATCATACAATATAGGCTACAGTTCAATTATCAGGTATTCAGGTTATGAGGGGTTACCAAAGAAATAAATTTCACAGAATGGTGATTAGTTAAAATGTCCATAATTTAGAAAGGCGCCAAGGATTCATATCATTTAGCGGGTAGGAGTTGCAAGACTTGATAGAGAAATCCACGTGTCCGCATTTTTAAGTACGATTGAGGATCAAAGATGAAACTGAAATTTTTCTGTAGAACAAGCAAACCTTTTTCTGTTAACTATTACTACATTTACAAGACTAAGAATCCTAGAATTGAACTTATCTTCCTCCTTAGATACACAAGCAATGGGGTGATTCTAAAGCTGAAGTGCTAAGAGAGAAACATTTTCATATCCCAAAACTTCTTGAAAACGATAGCTTCCAAGTTCCAAACAAACATCATGAAGGCAAGATACATACAGACATGACCAATGGGCCAGTTCATAACCGTGGAAATTATGATCCAGAATCCTAAAAGAAGGATAAATTGCAACAAAGAGTGGAAAATACAGATAGTTACTTGCAATTTATCGAGATACTGAGGTTGATTAACTCCTCTCTGAATAGTTCCTGTGAGCTCGAGGAGCCTGTCGGCAAGCGTACTTTTCCCATGGTCGATGTGCGCTACAATGGAGAAATTCCGAATCTTTTCAGGCGGGAATTGGGTGAGATTGAAGCCGTTTTTCCTGGCCAGCTCATCCCTCTCCCGGTCGGCGATGATTTGGAGGTGGCTTCGTGAAGAAAACCGGCGGATTTGCTGGTCGCCGTTAGACACACCGCGCAGCCGCCACAAATAGTCTGTACGGCCGACAACGGAAGAAGTAATTTTGAAGGTAGAGAAAAGCGGATTATGTTTGAGGGATTTAGCAACGGTTAAGGGTAGCATCGACGGGGATCGGAATTGCATGGCTTCTCTAACATGTGTAATAAGGAACCAAAAAGAAGAAAAAAGAAAATGGAGGGAATCAAGAATTAAATATTATTATTTCAGGACGGATGGCTTGGGGACGAAGGCGCTAGCTTGGGCCTACTGGGCCACTATATGAGCCAGATCAATTAAGAAACGAGGAAATATCCATTAAGAAATTTAGGGGATGCTTTTTTTTNTGCAAATAAGTAATTTAGGGGATGCTTTGATACAAAAATATTTATTATTTAGTTTTGATTTGGTTAATTTTAAAAAATATAGTATTGTTAGTTGTTAATGGGTATATTAAAATAATATCTATTACTATATAATAGGAAAAATTCAAAAATAGTAAGTGTATTTCCCGCTTTTTTTTTCATTTTTTTACAAATTTTTTTTGTGCCATGCATTTACAATAATATCTACAATTTCACTTCTGTTTGTTGTGCCAAAAAATCCGATTTTTATTCGGGATTCAAAATTTAGTTAATTTTTTATTTTTATTTTATTAGTATGTTTGAAAGAGAATCAATAAACTTATATTACTACAAATTTTTGTGAATTTTTTGTATTTTAATTTGTTCTCTACAAACATCAAATACAATTTGATTTAATATTAATATATAAATTCATAACAAAAAAAAGGTTTGTGTGGACATTGAAAAAATATCAAAACTGGAAGCCAAATGATGATTTAATATTTAAGTGACTAATGTATATCTTATGTAAATTAAATTGATTTTCATCAAAATTACACCACTAATGTATATCGTACTTACAAATAAATACAAAAAAATTTTTGGTAGTTATTTATTATAAAACATGTCAAATCTATACTTATATTAAAGGGAGTCCTATTTACTTAGTAGCTAGAAAAGTCAACAGCATTTATTGTCATTACTATTCCCATATTATACAGTTTTATTTAATATTTGTTTTTCTGTTACGATTTTTAAAAACAGATATGGTCAAATTCTCTCATCATTAATTACTTTCCATTAATTACAATTTATTTATTTATTATTTTCTTAGCAAAAACGGACCAACATTAATTGATTTCCTTAAAATGTGGAAGTTGTTGCTTTATTTTTGTACAGAAAATCAGATTTTATTATAGAAATTTGTTCAATTACACAATGAATTTGCTATGATATAATTATTTTTTATGGAAAATTTTTTTTAACAGAAAAATATGGCATTTCAATAAGATTTTTGATTTTTTAAGACTGATTGTTATCATGCTATGAAATTGAACATTCCAATATACCTTAACAAAATATAGACGTAGTGTATACATCAGTTAATAGAAATATAGAATCTTCATATTTTTATATATATGTATGTAATTTTTCTATTACCAAATTTAATTGATAGTTGTTGTGTTATGGATTTTTTCATAATTGTTACTTGGTTGTTGTGATATTTAGTTTGGTTGGTGTCGCAAAAATTCTAATCTATATATATAATAAGAATAATCATTACAATGCAAATTAGAAAAATATTGATATTAGAAGAGATTGAGTTCATGACTTTTCTTAAATCAAAGTTGTTTACATAGTATACAAAATTAAATTCTAAAAAAATATATGTGTATATTTTGTACATTATTTATACACTATTTAATTTTAAATTTATTTACATATTTTAAATTGATTACTTATATAAATAATACCAACGTGCATTAAATATATTTCATTACATAAAATAAAAAGAACAAGAAGATGTGCAACTTGTGTAACTTTATAAATAATAATGACATTATATGGCAACAAAGTTTAATAATTAACTATTATATATTGAATAAGAATAAGTAAAATTGTTATTTTCTCTTATATCAAGGAATAAATATATATAATAAAATTAAACTTATATTAATATAAATGTGTTAGTGAGATAATATATTAATTATTTTACAAGTTAGCCCTAACATGCTCACGTTTAATGTTCTGACTAATAAAACAACGCTGATTAAAAGATGTGAAAAATATATTACAACGCTATTTTTTTAGACTTAACGGTGATTAAAAGAGGTGGAAAATAGATGATAACTCTTTTCAGTCTTAAACGAGACTTAACGGTGATTAAAATAAGTGGAAAATGGATAATAACCCCGTGCATCGCACGGGTACGTACTAGTGAATGATAAATTGCCTCCAATAAGTTCNTGTAAAAAATATAGGTGATTAGCATCCGATCGTATGACATATTTTGAGTGGAGAAACAATTCAAAATTATGTAGATTCTTGCAATTCTTTTGATTTCATGCTCCTATATGATATTAATTAATGGGGGAAACAATTCCAAAAAATGTGGACTCTTGCAAATATGGTACATTGTCATCAAAATATCCGATTTAATTCTTTTCTAAAAAGTTAATTTTGTCGAAAAATAAATTAATTAAAAAAAAAATCAAAATTAATGTTGTATATGTGTTGGAAAGACTCCTATATGATATTGAATAATGGAGGAAACAATTCAAAAAAATGTAGATTCTTGTAATTATCGTACATTGTCATCCAAGTAACCGATTTTATGTTTTTCCAAAGATTTATTTTTTCAAAATATAACTTATTTAAAAAAATAAAATTAATGTTATTGGCACACACACAATAACAATATAAACAACCCATTTGTGTCAATTTAGAACGCACGTCAAACAGCATAAAGTTCCATACGATCATACTTTTATTTGATATGGATAGAAGTGTATTTGAAAAATTTTTAAAAATAAAATAAGTGGTATGAATTTGGTTTTGTATGATTATGAAAGTCGAATTTTAGGTTGATTTGTTATAAAATCAAGGTGATATGATTCTCAAATTTTAGTATTCCCACAATAACATGTCATAAGATATTAATGATAATTTGACAAATTGGTAATGTATTCCAATTGAAAATTAGAAAGATATTTTAACAAATATTAGCTAATAAAATTTAAAATTTATAATCTAATTAAAGAAATTTGGTTGATAAATTTGAACGATAGGGTAACCGATAAAAAATCTAGAAAATTGCGAGATAAAATATATATATGAAATATATAAAAAAATTATTGTGTAGTCAAAGTTTGAGTTCCAAATTTAAAAGTCAAATAAGTAAATATTCATAACTACGGGTCTATATTAACTTGGACATAAATGAAATAATCAATTATTTATAATTTAATAAATTACTCAACTACTTATATTTGTTGATTTTATTATTTTATACAAAAATAAATTCTTTAATTAATGAAAGAGTATAAGTTTTATAATTATAATTATTGTTCACATATATTTTAAAATATATTATAAAAGTTTACCAAAATATATATTTATTTTATGAACTCACATTGTAGTCAAAACGAATTTCAGAATAAAAAATTTTAAAATAACACTTATTTTGAAATGAATATAATAGAATTTATTATCAGGTACGTGCACCGTACGAATTGTGTACTATTTTAATTAGACATATTTTATGTATCTTTAAATAATTTAAATTTCATATAACATTTTTAGTAAGTTAATATAGATAAATTGTATTATATATTGAATCCATATTTTTATTTTATAAATATTATTTAATGATAATTTTAAATATATAAATATTAATGAATATCTCTTACCCGTGCATTGCATGGATTCGTACTAGCTTAAAATAAAATAATTAAAGTTGATTTGATGTAAAGTATGAGAGAGATGATGTGAAGTGATATGTTTAGTTATGGTTAGTTAAAATCTGTGAGTTGATGAATAGTAAATTAAAGTTGGTGTGATGTATAAATATGATTGATTAATATTATTTAATTATATTGATAATGTTGAATATAGTGGTGTTGAAGATAGTGGTGTTGATAATGATTGAGTTATAAATATTTGGATATTTTTTTGTTTTGGTAGCCAGCCACGTATCCGGAGCTTTGCCCCGACTAATTCGTTGATCGACCCGGGTCGCACACCTGACAATGGTGGGTGAGTCTCCCAACAACGGTTTTCTGCATTCACAAGGACCCAAACCCGAGACCTTACTTAAGCAATATCAAGCTGCTTACCACTTGAGCCAACTCTTTAAGTTGTATACAAGCAACACCTTACTCCAACTTTAAATCTTATTTTTAAGATTACAATAGATTGATCTAAGTATGAATATCCTTTTATTTGTTTATTTTTTTTTACGAAACGATAGGAATGCATTCAACAAAATAACGTTTGTACAATCCGGGGGACTAACTACTACCAAATAAATAAAACAGGAGACCTACAATCATCGGGGCCCAAGAAAATAAACCACAAACAACGAAAGACAAATTAGCACTGAAAGGCAAGTAAACATACTCAGCCCCTTCAAATAACAAAACACTAATCAGACCAAACACAACAAATAACACAAGTTGAAAAATAAAAACATGCCACTTAATTCTAACGAGACCTAGCAAATCCTGATTCCCCCTTAGCTAGAAGCTGAAATAGTTGCTGCTTTCGCAAACTCATCCCACTCCTTCCATGCTGCTTGTACCACTTCCTGCTCCGACATCCATACTTGTTTAAATTTCTGCAAGTTCCGCGAATTCCATAGCCACCATAGCAGGTATGTAGTCAACTGAAGCCTTTCCTTCGATATCATCTTCATGTCCACTTTGCAAGCCTTCCACCATCAATCCTTAAAGTTAGTGCATCTATCCTCCAAACCATCCCACTTAACTGGTGAAATGCTCCACACTTTTCTAGCTCTGCAGTATATCCTGTATAAAAACATAACATGTTCTATAGATTCTTCCACTTCCCCACAGACAGAACATATAGGATCCATATCCATCCTTCTTTGTTTCAAAATCAGATTAACTGGCAGCACACCATTGTAGCACTTCCACATAAAATGTCTAAGCTTCCCCCTCCATGCCCGCCATCTACATTATCCAAAGCATGTACACCTTTTCGTACTGTAATGTTCGAAAACTGCATATGAAACCAACCGTTATGAAAAATTGTAAAGGAGAAAACTCTCTCGATCCCTTTCAGACACCGTGAGAATAACATGGTTTATGAAAAAAAAAGCCATAAAAATGAACAAACAAATGCAGTTGATATTCGCAATAAGCAAGCAGTTGCCGCTCGTTTTCATCATGAACAGAGCAAGTAGTGGCAACAAAATGCAGTTCATTTTCCCAATAAGCAAGCAGTTGCTATAAAATAAAATTACACAAAACAAAAATCATTTCACAATCCATTTTCATCAATTGACCCCAAAAAAAGAAAAAAAAAATAGATTTTTCCAACGACAAAATTACAGAGCAAATTAATCGCAATAGAGGGGCGACTTACCTGCGTTGCTGCTCGTTTTTCCTTCTCCGATGACGTTACTGAAGCACTGCCGGTGCTCTCGGTGCTGACGTCAATCATCGCCATTGCGTGGTGGCTCCCAAGCTCTGGGAAGTTGACAGCCGGTGGTAAATAAGATGGTTCTGTGGTCATTTTACCACAAAATGCAAGGATCTTTTATGGTGGTGAGTGAACCGATCAAATTGGGGGTAGGTGAAGTGAGATATTTTAAAAATTGAGGGATCCGAGGTGACGGTACAAATTAGTTGTATGTCTACAGGTGATGGGTCCCACAAAAAGTAAAAGCAAACATAATAAATTGGTAAACAAACACTAACAACAATAATAAGTGAATTATTTCAGCTGGGGAGAATTTTGGAGAAAAAAAAACCAGTTAACAAACACACTCTTATTGTTATTGGAGATATATGGATGTTGGAGTATGATGCAAATGATGTAGCATGTGTAAAGAGATGTTTGTAAGATTTAATTAATAAAGATGCTCAAAGTTAAAAATGTAGAGATCATTAGATGGTGTGACTGTGACATATATAATAACTATCAACCATTTTTCGCTATTCAAGAATTTCTCCAATGAAATTTGAATCAAAATGAAAAATAAATGCAATTTCATCTTTTTTTAATACAATCTCATTAACAAAATTTAAGAAGTAAATTTTATTTAATTTATTATCATTACTTAAGGTATTTTTTTAATATTAAATATTAATATATTATTCAATGATTCAACTGTTATCCAAATTTAAATTTAAATTTAAATTTCAAAAACAGTACACATATCATAAAAAGCGGAACGACAACGGCAACCACCAGCCAGCTGTCAACTACCATTATTATTATTTTTGTATAGAAAAATATCAGCCTTCAAACAAAAGCATCCAAGAACTCATTTCCTATATATTCCCTTTCCCGGAAACCCTAACCCGCACTCAGAAAATCTTCTCCAGAGCGTCTTTGCATACGCATCTGGCTTTTTTCCTTCCTTCTTTCTGTCAATCTAGCTTAAGTTCTTAGGAGAAAGAAAGTTTTAGCGAAAATGAGAGAGTGCATTTCGATCCACATCGGACAGGCCGGTATCCAGGTTGGCAACGCTTGCTGGGAGCTCTACTGCCTCGAGCATGGCATTCAGGTCTGCATTCTTCTTTTCTTATATTTCTAGCGTATTACCTCTCAGATCTAATGTCCTTATCGTATCATTCCATGTAAATCTGTTAGATCTGGCCTTTTTTTTTTGGCTTTTGATTTATGTCGTGGTTGCGTTTTTGTACTGATCTCGTCTGCTTCCCTCGTTAGATGTGATTGTATTTTGAAAGCTATCTGTAATTACGTTCATAATCCGTCATGAAATGAAAATGTCAAATGGATTTGTCTTTTTATCGGTTGATTTTACCAGATCTAGTGATTCTTATCTGTTAGTCTTTTCCCGATTCGTAGTTATTCGGTGTAAATCTGAAGTACGTTCAGATCTGTGAATACATTATGAAAATGTCTTATGGATGCGACGGTATAATAGGGTGCTATTATCGTATTATTGCTAACTTGAGTTAGATTTAGGTATCTACTGATGATGGTGACTTTTCCCTTAATAATTATTGATTAAGCTTCAATTCGATTAGATCTAGTGAATTTTGTATGCCTCTTGTTCACCCGGAAAGTCGTACTCTGAGGTACTCATTGCTTGTCAGTATAAGTTTTGTGTCCTGACCATAGATAGATCTACTGTTTTTACAGCCTGATGGACAAATGCCCAGTGATACCACAGTTGGTGGCGGTGATGATGCCTTCAACACTTTCTTCAGCGAAACTGGTGCTGGAAAACACGTTCCTCGTGCAGTGTTTGTGGACCTTGAGCCAACTGTGATTGATGAGGTGCGCACTGGAACATACCGTCAGCTTTTCCACCCTGAACAGCTCATCAGTGGCAAAGAGGATGCTGCCAACAACTTTGCCAGAGGTCATTACACCATTGGCAAAGAGATTGTGGATCTCTGCCTTGATAGGATCCGCAAGCTGGCAGACAACTGCACTGGGCTACAGGGATTCTTGGTTTTCCATGCTGTTGGTGGCGGCACTGGATCTGGGCTTGGATCCCTTCTCCTGGAGAGGCTCTCGGTTGACTATGGGAAAAAATCAAAGCTGGGCTTCACCATATACCCTTCGCCTCAGGTCTCCACTGCCGTTGTTGAGCCTTACAACTCTGTCCTCTCGACCCATTCTCTGCTGGAGCACACCGATGTCGCTGTTCTTCTCGACAATGAGGCTATCTATGACATCTGCCGCAAATCTCTCGACATTGAGAGGCCCACCTACACTAATCTCAACAGGCTCATTTCTCAGGTATAATTTAATTATTATTCTAATATGTTTTTGTAATTACATGACTGAAAGTGAAAAATAAATGTTTTTTTTCTCTTTTTTCTGAATTCCCAGGTAATTTCCTCCTTGACAGCCTCTCTGAGGTTTGACGGCGCCCTGAATGTGGACGTGAACGAGTTCCAGACGAACCTTGTCCCGTACCCGAGAATTCACTTCATGCTCTCGTCTTATGCTCCTGTAATCTCGGCTGAGAAGGCCTACCACGAGCAGTTATCAGTTGCTGAGATCACCAACACTGCCTTTGAGCCTTCGTCCATGATGGTGAAATGTGACCCACGACATGGAAAGTACATGGCTTGCTGCCTCATGTACAGAGGTGATGTGGTCCCAAAGGATGTTAATGCAGCTGTGGCCACTATCAAAACCAAACGCACCATTCAGTTTGTCGACTGGTGCCCGACTGGATTCAAGTGCGGCATCAACTACCAGCCACCAACTGTGGTCCCTGGTGGTGACCTGGCAAAGGTGCAGAGGGCCGTGTGCATGATATCGAACTCGACCAGTGTTGCTGAGGTGTTCTCGAGGATTGACCACAAGTTTGACCTGATGTATGCGAAGAGGGCCTTTGTGCACTGGTACGTGGGTGAGGGCATGGAGGAAGGGGAGTTCTCGGAGGCCAGGGAGGATTTGGCTGCGCTTGAGAAGGATTATGAGGAGGTTGGTGCAGAGAGTGCTGAGGGGGATGAGGACGAGGATGAGGGCTATTGAGTGTCGATTGTCTGTCTCATCTTCTGTTTCTGTGTTTTGAATTTGAACTCTCTTTGTGCTGTCATGATTTTTTCTGTTTTTGTGTGTTTGTTTCTGGGTGAGTGTGGTGGTGTTTGAACTCAAGTGTGTGTCATTTGGTTGTTGCTTGTTGTTTGGGTTTTCGGTGGTGGTGTTAATCTCCTTCTATGAAATACTACTCGTCTTTTATTTGGTTTTTAATGTCAGTACTTTTTGTTATAAGTATTTCAATTCTAAACCAATACTATTTATTAATTATATAGGGTGTGAATGACTACTTTGTATTTGATGTAATTTTATATTTTATGATTGTGCCATTGGAATTTTATTTACAACTAGGAAATATAATTGTGCCATTAGGAATTTTATATTTCCTAGTTGTAAATACATTCTTTTATTCTCTCTGTATCTCTGGTTTTATAACAATTTACAGAAATCTTAAAATCTTACTAAAAAAATACATTCTATTTTTATAATAATTTATCAACACGGATCTTTGTCTTACAAAACTCGACTTGTTATATGACTATAATATGTTCTACAGTTGCGTCTTATAGACGATTGACTTACAGAACTCGACTTGTTATATAACTATAATATGTTCTACAGTTGCGTCTTATAGACGATTGACTGTATCAGAATGGAAATATTACAAATTGTCGTCTTCCTCAAGCAATATAGTGTGCTTGAAAAATCATGAACAATACAAATAGTCGTCTTCCTTAAACAATCTTCTGCCGGAAAAATCATGTTTTTCCCAATTATGGACAGACAAACACACAATCGTCGTCTTCCTCAAACAATACCTTGTCGGAAAAAATCACGTTTTTCCCAATTATGGAAACTAAGCAAACACAGACGAGTCTTTATAAAAAATAAGAAAATAAAAATAATAATAATAAATCTCTAGTGTATTCATTGTCCACTTTCATAATTTTGTTCATATCATACTATCCCTCCGCTAAATAGNACATTCTTTTTTTTTCTCAAACATCAAATATTATTACCATTGAAAACTCAAAATGTACAAACACTTAACCAAATGGTTACACTTCAAGAATTCCGAGCACAAACTTAGGAAACAAGAAAGCATGAGAAGTTAAACCTAACTTCCCTACAAGACCAACATGGCCATGATACCACAATACACAAGAAAACTGAAAAATACAAGCCTAACCAAAAACTAGAATACAACCATAAACAAAGACGTAGGGACATCTGATAGCAGCTGGAAAATGTCTTGGGGCACAGTAGAGAAGGCAGCATAAAAAATCACCCTTTCATTCAACCCTTTTCTCAGTGTAAGGTTTTTCACTGCAGCCATAAACAGAGAAGTAGGGATATCTGATAGCAGCTGGAAAATGTCTTGGAGCACAGTAGAGAAGGTAGCATAAAAAATTACCCTTTCATTCAGCCCTTTTCTCAGTGTAGGGTTTTTCACTGCAGCCATAAACAGAGAAGTAGGGACATCTGATAGCAGCTGAAAAATTTCTTGGAGCACAGTAGAGAAGGCAGCATACAAAATCACNAGAAACGATCCTAGGTTGATCGGTATGCCAACATGGTTTAAAATATATATTTAAAATCATAAAATAAAATAAAAATAAAGTTTTAATCAAGAAACTTGCATGAAATACTTCATGTCATCCAGAATTTCATTGATATTTCCCATTTATAGAATATTGTCATTTTGGAGTGTATAACACTTAGATCTAATAAATATTCTAATGAAGTATACCACTAATGTCAATATCAACTCATTGGTGCTCAATCATATGTTGAAATTTAAATTCATTTCAGCTCGAGATTACCAATATAAAGTGAGAAGCTCCTTCTTAATATTAGCTTCTGACTTGAAAAAAAAATTCTTTAGATTGTGAAATTTCAGATGACAAATCAACTTAAAGACAATCAACCAATTTATATCTATCACATAATGATAAATTATCCATGAAAACTAAAGTCATCGTCATTATATGCAAAAAAGAAAAGATGTCACAAGTAATGTTTTTTATCTGCATCCATATCAAACCTTAAAGTCCTTGTTATAAAAAATTGCCTAGGTGCAAGTGCTAGGTGACATCTAGACGCTACGATTTTGTCAAAGCGGTCATTTTAAAATTGTAATTTCTTTTTAAAAATAATTTAAATAATTCAAATCTTATCCATGATTTTTATACTAATTTTATAATAAAAATCATAGTTTTTTAAACTCAGATTGGCCCGACGGCACAATTTGTGATCCAATCGACCTGGAGTCGGAGCCAGAACCGACTCGGTTGAATTATTTGCACGGATAACTACGAAACATTGCTTAAAGTAACGTAATTTTACCATAAATAAAAAAAGACATAGAATTCATTGTCTTAATACAGTTAAATTAATGATTAAATTCTTAATCAACAACCAATAAACAAGCAATTACAAATCCTAAATTTAAACTCCAGAAGAGAAAACAAGAAAATTTAATTCACATAAAATGTTAGAGGGGTTGATCATCACCTATGTTATTTAGTAAAATTTAATTAAGCACATTAATCATTTCAATATTAAAAGATATGTCAATTAGTAGTGATAATAAAATCACGGAAAAATAGACAAATAATCAAAAGCCAACA